CCTGCATTCATGTGGAGTCAAAATAATGGGAAAAACGTGTTCCAGGCTGGGAAAATTCACCCTCACTCTAACCCACTAAAACAACAACTTGGAATGTTGGTTAAAATGTTGGTATACAAGTTACAAAGTTGACATCATATTTGCAGAAACATAGCAGAGGAAAAAAAACAAACAAATGTCTGGTTGAAAGTAATAAACTTTTTATGAATTTTCATTTGCATGTCAATTTTTTGCTCCCATGTAATTTGAAATATGGTATAAGGTTGGTAACTGTTAGATGCTGGCCATGTAGAATAACATAGATTACTTAGAAAAGTTATTTATTAGCATTATTCAGGCAAAGCAATACTTAAGTAGTCTGACAGATGTACTGGGGCAGCAGCAAGTTTTTAAATACTCTGAGCAATAAAATACAACACATCGTCTTTGTAGTGTCAGTGTTGTTCTCACATGATGACTTAAAGCTCATGGACACACCAAAGTTGGAAGAAGACTTCCTAACTCAGGAAATGGGACCATCTGAGGAGCACATGAACGCAGCAATATATTTTCATATTTCCCTAATGTGAATCATATGATATGGTCCTTGCAGTCACCAGATTTTAATCCAACCTAACACCCATGGGAGATTTTAGATGTATGTGTTGGACAACACTCTCCACCAACATCATCATCAAAACACAGAATAAGGAAATATCTTATAGAGCAATGGTGTTCAGGAGGCTCAGGCTGAGCAACACCTGACTAAGATACATCATGGTGTTTTGTTTCCCTTTAACCTGTTCCCTATGTGTATGTATTAAACTATTTGTCCATGTTAGGCCCACCTGTGTACAATGCAGTAACACTCAGCTCTGTGGAAAATAAACATTTTATGAGGCACTGTTCCTCTCAAAAAGTTTTATCAGAGAGGAAGCTCTTTATCTGTGTGTCCTGGTCAGGAGATGATGGGAGAGGAAGAAAGTGAAAATTTAGGAGGGGAGGAGAGGCTAAAGCTTCCTCTGTGGTCGTAAAGATCACAGCTAGGAGGAAGACCACGACTACTATAACAGTAGCAATAACAGCAGCTCTGCAGTCCAACTCTTTTCTGAGTTACACAGTCTTCCAAAAGAAAAAAGGTTAATGCTCACTATTGCACTTATAGCACATAAACATTTATGTGATCATCATAGTACATTTTGAATTGTTTCCTTACATGCGATAGACTACTATTGTCATGTCTAATATTTTGATTACTGACTTTCAGTCCAATAGCCATGTGTACCGTGCCTGTTGAGTCCAAGTACACTTTAAAATGAAAAGATCTTTAGGGATAGGATGATCACTGTGAGTGGTCAGATTTAAAATTCTGTGATACTAATGCTGCGTGGAGAGGTGGAATGCAAAATTCAATCTCGGAAACCATCGGCTATCAACTGACGACAATTTAGTTCTATGTTAACTTCCCCTAAATTAACCGTTGTTATACGCAGATATCTGTTTATGGAGATTAGCCGAAATGGCTGGTGCTAAGAAGGCAACATCTTGGCTCAATTATCCGCTGGCTACACCGGATTAGCCCAAAATATTGGCCCTTGCCCCCAGAGGCTTATCGTTGTCAGACAGAAGTGGATAGGTTCTGATATTGGCAATGCCAAGACATTGCTTTAATTACTACCTTATTGTGAGAAATACAAACATGTTAGACAAAAAGCAATTTTGTGTGAACTTTGTCAAAATTAATAGTAAAAAACCTGATATTTTTTAAAAGTCTAAATCCATAACTATCTGATCAAAGAACAAGCAAACTTTAAAACAAATCTAAGCAGACTTTCGATGCCAATTAGTAATACTAAAAACGTTTTTGATACTCAGTGCTATGTGGACACATTTTCAGTTGGCATTACAGATGTGAGAAGAAACAAAAAAAACAATCTGCAGAAAATCAATCAATCAATTTTTATAGCTGATTAACCAATAAAGCCACATAAGAAAGCAAAACCACCAAACATCCTCCAGTTGCAGCCTCTCCAATGTGCTGCTTTTTTCTGTTTTATATCATTATGAACTAAATATCTTTGGGTTATGGACTGTTGATGGAATGGGACAAAGCAAGACATATGAAGTAGTCACCTTGGACTCTTTGTATTTTTAAATAATGATTGCATAAGGTAAACAATCAGGTGGAAACATTTTGGTCTGTACCAAAATAGGACCAAGGTTCAGGACCCAATGCTAATTATCACAACCCAGAAAATAACCTTTGACAGTGGAGCGAGGTTCATCTATGCAGGGCAGCCCTGCCAAGGTACTGAAGCAGTTTAATAGGAGGTTGCCCTTGGTGTGTGTGTGTGTGTGTGTGTGTGTGTGTGTGTGTGTGTGTGTGTGCCTCTCTTGTAGGGGAGTGTTTGAGCAGGCTGGGTAATCCCTGTAAAGACGTATAATCCCCAGGAAGAGCAAATATTACAACACGCTCTCCTCAGTCACACAGAAAACCTGGTGGGAAGAATTTGGTACGGTTCACTTGTTTCTGTTCTGGAGGGCAGACTGAAAGAACCAGAGACAGACTGAGATTTGGCAGAAGTTGGGTGCAGCGATACCAAGTGGCTCTGAATGACAATTGAGACCAAATTAGCATATTCAAATAGGGAAAATAAAAGTTTTTTAAAAGACAATGGCAGCTAATATGCAAAGTGCAGCTCACCATAGAAACGAACTACATACCTCGGCTGAGTGTTTGCAGCAGGATGGTTGTGTGTGCGTACGCGAGTGTGTGTGTGTTTGTACGTAAGCCAAATCCATGAGGAATCTCTGTCATTTCACGCAACATTTTTGCAAATACCATAAAGCAATAAAGGCAACATTTCCAAAGACATAATGACACTGACACATACACACACACACACCACAAACGGAGAGACTTCTCTGAGGCTCTTTTGTCTGGTTTTGGAGGACTAAAGAGAGCTGACGGTCCAGATGCTTGTTCAAAGTCTCTGGGAGTATTTTTGAGCCCCCGGTCCATTAGTGTCCTGCTGCTTCTCTAATCCTCATTCACATGTAATGGCTGACATTTCATCTTAATGTGTTAATTCATTAGCTGGGTGCTGAATGGAGAGTCTCAGTCCACAGAGACGGCCGTAAGCAGACACGCTAATGAGTCCCCACACTGCAGAAGTCACCGCGGAGCTAATGCCAAGTGACCTGGTTTACCTGGTGCAAGAAAACCCCCTGGTATACCACCAACTGTTGAATATTTTGATACTATAACAGATACATAGCAAAGCTTTTGTACATTTTTGATACCTTACTCTAACCGATACAATACATGTTTTTCACAAAACCAGATTTATTAAAATTAAACAAAGAGCCCACATTTCTTAAATTAATTTATGTCATGTTTACACAAGCAGCTGTGCACCAACACTGTCTAAAAAAAATAGTCCAAAACCGGAACTCTGCTTTAATCTGACAAGCAGTTTGATGCCAGCTTACCTTTCATTAATTTTAACTATTTCAAACACATTCAGCCAAATTTAAAAGAAAAGGGCTCTACTCCCAACCATTATCGTACAATATAATTAATTGGAGATTAAAGAATACATAAATAAGATGACAAATCTGATCAGGCATTCAATACCGTTGTAGTATTTAACTGTTTTTGTTACTCAGTGCTAAAGACACATTTTGGTCTGTGCCAAAATATGTTTTGAGGTTTAAGACACAGCACTAATGAGAAGATGCTAACAAAGGAAGTTGAAATGAACAGTGTGTTAGATATAGGAGGATATAGTGGCATCTAGAGGTGAGGATTGCATATCTAAACAGGTGAAACTTCTGTCGGTTGATTCTGCAGGTGATTACAACTGGTAAAAACGCCGGATGAAGCAGTTTCATATTAAAACATCAGTGTTTCTCTGATGCTCTCACTGCAGAGAAGCTGCTAACTACGGTCACTGATGCAAAAATGTAAATGGCCCTGTCTAGAGCCAGTGTTTGCTTTGTCTGATCTGGGCTACTGTAGAAGCATGGCCGTGTAACATAATGATCTCCATAGACAAGGACCTGCTCCCTATGAGAATATAAACCGCTTATTCAAAGGTAAGGAAACACTGAGTCTTGTTTTCAACTAAAGAAAACATACTTATTATATGATATTACATTTCTGCCAATATATCCCCTAAATCCTTCACACTGGACCTAAAAGTCAGTTGAAAAGCTAGAAAAATTAGGGTCTTTAGAGACGTGTCTTCCTTGAAAAACAGAATTTTCAAAATACAGTCACACGAAAGATTGCTTTTTTACAAAAACACAGAAAATACAGTTTTATCCATTTAACTACACACTTACACACCCTCCCCACAAAGACAGACAGTCATGCAGACAGACAGACACAGACAGTAGACAGCATCCCAGTCAGGTTTCTTTGAGTATCATTAGTCCAGTGCATCACTGGATTGCATTCAGTCAGGACCCCAGCCCTGAAATGCTCAGTGCTGCAAACACCCCCTCCACCATCACCACCACCACCACCACCACCCCACGACTCAAAAGCCCCAGATGTGTGTGTCCTCCTCAGTGCGGGGGTAGGGGACAACTAAAGGAGGAGGGATCTGGCTCTCAGTCATGAAGAACCTGCTACTTTCAACTACAGCTTCCTAAATCTTTGCTCTGATGTTATAAGTGATAACAAACATCTGCCTAAGTCTTTAGATATTTCAATCACTCATAGTTGCACACACACATCCATGCATACACAACATGCATGCAGGAGAATGTGTGTTCAAGCGGCAGTTGGAGGATAAGGAGGGGGCTTCCTGTCATTTGAATTACCCTCTACATGTGGGGTCAATATGTGCAATGCTTAAGTGTGTGTGTGTGTGTGTGTGTGTGTCAGGGGTGAGGTGGGGGCAGCTGTGGGAGCTGCACCCCCCTCCCCAATACTCCCCCCTCCCTCTAAAAAGGCTGTATAAAGGAGGTGGGGGGAGAAACACCTTTGTCACTTTGCTCTCAGAAACAGAGACAATCACACTCTCACTGAACACACACATTCCCAAAGGACATACTGATTATCCCGAGAGAAGAGGTACATCTGGATACTGGATCCTCCCGGGAAGGGCCTTCTGGACTGAAACAGGAGAAAAAGACAACACCCTGAGCATCATCAGTCCAGCTCAGACCCAGAAAGACTCTCCAGACCTTTGGACAGTTATCATTAACTGACCTGTTCAGAGGTTAACTGCTGCCCAGCCATGAGGATCTTCAACCTGCTCTACCTACTCCTGCTGCTGGTAGCCGTTCTTGTACCAGCTTACTCCATCAGACCAGGTAAGCATCCCAAAACGTTAACCAGCAGGTGTCCGTTAAAACCGCAGAAGGTCAAACATAGGTCCGGGTCAACTGTTTAAGCGGCGTTTTAATTCACTGCGCAACGTCCGTAAAACCGCAGGTAACCATAGCAACAATAATTCTGCTCTTTACTAGCTTAACTACTTAAACTAGCTTAACGCTCAACGTTGAAACAGACTAAGTTTAAACATATTACAAGTTAAATTAAGTTCAAACTTTTTAACAAAGTCCGGGTCAACTGTACCTTAAACTGCAGGTAACCATAGCAACAGTACTTCTTGCTAGCTAAACCACTTAAACTAGCTTAACACTCACCGTTGAAACAGACCAAATTTAAGCATTTTAAAAGTTAAAATAAGTTAAAACTTTTAATATATATATATTTAGTTCCTTAAACGTTTTTTTTTGGTGGGGGTTACGATATAAGCGCGATAATACACTCCGAAATACAAACAGACGCACCGTCAATCATCAGGCCTTGACTCAATCAATATGTGGCGCGTTCATGGATTGTCGTATAGTGCGTAAACACGAAAACTCTAGTTGGGAGAGAACATTATCATGAGCCTCCTGTTGAGGAACAAACACAATAAATCAAATAAAATAACGACAGTGTCAACAACCATCGCTAAAAAAGAGCTGTAAAGTCAACCTCAATGCCATTACATGTAATTAAAACCAAACCGTTACTTAATTACATCAAAGCAATCGAATTAACTTACTAAAAGGGGCTCAAATTTAAATGTTTGCTCCTTGAATCAATACATATATAACACAATATAATTACTAATTTGGGCTTACTTTTGATCCATCTGGGGTGACAACGTAAATAGGCTATTCAGAGGTAATTACCTTGAATGAATGCGTTTAACGGTAGTTTTTGCTATTCTTCCCATTTTGCCAACATGCCCTGAATGCAGCACTGGTATAACAAACTTGTGGTATATTGTTGGTTTTAAATTATAAAGTTTAATATTAAATTTCAATAAGCGTAGCTACAAACTGCATGTTTAAGATTTTGTTTTTGATAACAAAAAAAAAAGAAAGAAAAAAAAGTAGACACCATGATGCTCCCGCCTGATGTAACAGGTGCGCCTTCTACGCAAACCCAGGCTGGTTTGCGGTGATCTGCGGTGGAGACATACAGCGATGGTTCAACAGAGAGGCCTTGGGGTTTGAGGTCGTGATTAGGTTCACTTGATGATGCAGAGGGGAGGATGAGGAGGGAGGGCGGGGAGAGGAGTGCCGCCGGGGATCGCACAGCGACCCCAGTGCGTCCCTTTGTCCCCGACTGGAAAACACTCCGGCGCGCTTTTGTTAATCACGGTGTTAAAACGCCATGCAAATACCCGAGCTTTATTAACATGACATGGAGTAGCAGTGCCAAGTGTAAAGGAGCCTACCTTCAGGCGTGGGGAGCTGTTTCTTTCAGAGGGGAGAGAGGAGGAGGAGGAGGAGGGGGGAGGAAGAGGGAGCCATAAAGTCATCTGGCAGTTTATCTCTTCCTGGGCTTGGCTGGCAGTCTGTGAACTGCAGGAGTCAAAGTGGATTTATTAGGGACGTTTAAAAATAGTCATGTGTTAGGTCTGTGTGTCCCAGTTTATTAGAAAGGGGTCGCCCTGCTGTTGGTGAATGGGTCCAAACAATAAAATCCCTTTAAAGCAGGCTTACCTATAGTCAACAGAGGATAAGTTAGGACATAATTAGGCTTAGTTAGTTTCATAATCATACTCACTTAGAACATGGCGGCTGTAGGAGGTGTTATTTTATCTCTTGTGGTGCTGAAAAGCTCAGGCTGAGTTACTGTGCACCATTTGGGATTAATTAAGCCTCTCAGGTGATATACAGGGCTCCACCTGCAGACATAAATCTTGTTTAAAGGGACTTTTTACACCTAAAATTACATGTGATTAGCAGCTCATTCATGCAGCTACAAACGTATCTCTGTTATGAAACATCAGCTTCTCCAGGGGCTTTATTCTGCATATTAAAAATCATCTCTTTCTTTCAGATTTCCTGAACTTAAGGAGAAAATACCACAGACACCACTGCCCACACAGACGCTGCCTGCCTCTCCACTCCAGAGTACCCTTCCCCTAAAGGTAAGACGTGTGCACTCATACATGTGTTTCTGTGTAGAGGAGGTTATGAGCCGAGCGGTGTGATACACAGAACAAAAACAGGTTACAGGGCCGGCAGGTGGCAGTTAAGAAGGTGTGCGTGATTAGTGGCAGAGGTGTGTATTCACGCAGAACAGGAGTGCATGGAGGGGGAAAAAGGCTCAGACATAAATCTCACTAATGATGAAGAGGAAGGCTTTGGTGCCATTAGGAGAGAGGGGGGTTTAGTTTTAATTTTTTGGACTGCTGTACACGCAGTTAGTTGTTTTGTCCTTCTCTGTACCTTTCAGCAGGACATTCAATTATGTTTTTTTCCACTGCAGGTTGAAGCACAAGATTGAGGGTGACCTAAGGAGAGGAATATGGATATGAAGCAACTACAGTGTGCATCCTGGGCACCATGGATGGATCCCAGTGCAAACACAGACTGAAGGGGAGGAAAATGCCACCCAAAGACTGATATGTATATGTAGCTGCAAAAAGCTACAAGACACTGTCTTCATTTCCAACAAAATATAAACGATGAATTGTTTTGGCACCCTGGTGGACACAGATCTGGGTTTGTCCAGCTGCACAGCACAGCTGCCAGAAGAAAATGTTGGCTTGTATGTTTCTACAAACCACAACTATGTTAAATTTATATGTTTCTAGGCATCATATCAATGTTTCTAAAGTGATGTAGTATTTGAGCTGAATTTGTCATGCAGAGGTGGAACGGATGGTGGATGGCCTGCCAAGCTGCAGACCCCTGATTGAGACCAACAAACAACAAACACTGGTTGATTTTTAGCAAATGCTGGTGGTGTTTCCACCGGTGTTTCTGGCACCAAACATGAGTGTTTTTAGCAGCACTTTATGGTGTTTCCTAGCAGCAATACTGGCGCCAAACCTAGGTGTTTTTTACGACACATTGCTGTGTTTCCTAGTGGCATTTCAGCCACGAAAAGCTGGGTATTTTTCATGGACACATAAGGGGGTTTCCCAGTGGCGTATGGGCCAAGGAACCAGGGTGTTTTTCACTGACCCATTCCTGCTTGGCTATTTTAAGCCAAAACATGATCTTTTCCTAACCATAACCAAGTGATTTTTGTGCCTAAACATAACCACACCTTCACCACAGAGTTGTTAAGAAACCTAAGATTTCAATGTACCCGCTGTAACATAACGTAAAATGTATCTGTGGTTTGTAGAAATGTACAATTCAAACTGGTGACTGGTTTGAGCTGCAAGCACCGTCCCTCTTCGTCATCAAAAGCCATAACTTTTGTACGGAACAAGAACAGAAGAAAAGGAGCAGCAACATCAAAAATATTTAACACTCACGACTCAAAAGCTTCGGACCAAAGAGCTGGAAACATCTTAGTGACTGCAGCTACGATGACCAGCATCTACATAGTATTCCTATAAAGTGTTTATAATGCATGTATGCACTTCAGATGTTTATTGTATTATGTGTTAAACTTTTTAATAAAACATGTATCAGTGAACTGTTTTGTTTTTACTTCACGAGTTTGAAAATATCTTTAAATATGTAGCCTAAAAGCCCATGATAAAACATGACCCCTGATACCTGAGCACTCCACAGTGCTCCCTAGAGAGGTCACATGAGAAAGGAGTCGTAAATGCTCCCTGTGGAGTTACGGACGCCAGAGCATAAAGAAATCACAATGGGGAGCAAACACTACGGGCTAGAATGACGACCTCGATATTTCGTTAACGCAGATTCCCGTGACTGTTGAAATTTAACACAGAAAAGGTGAGGCGGGAAAAGACGTTCACACCAGCTAACGCTGACACTGCGGTGTCTCCATTGTTTGGACCTTTTCTTTTAGCTCTAAAGGTACAACATACAAAACAAACACAAACCTGCAGTCACTTACTTGGGTTTCACTGACGTATTGTGTCAACTGTTGCTCCTGAAAAGGCTTAAAACACGTTAAATAAAGGAAAAGGTGTATATTACATATTTATTGGAATGTGACCACAAACACACAAACTCAGTGATTGAACAGATAGAAAGAAAACTGCTACCAAACAAAGCATTTACACATTCAGACAGATAAAAAAAAAAGCACTTGCAGACAATTTACAGTTACACCATCTCTTTCTCTTGTTTGACCCTGATACGTAATAACCTCTCCCCCCTGTATCCCCTCGTCTGTCAGTTCCTCCTTAGTGCAGATGATTTCTAAAACAATTTCACCACTTCTGATTCTCTCACAGTAACACAAGCGGCAGTGGACGTGGGTCACCGGGGGTCATAACACAGTGATAAAAACCCCTCACCTCTGATCTGTGACCCATGACTCCTCTCCTCCTCCTCCTCCTCCACCCCTATTTAACTTTCCTCCACTTACAGCTCACCTCCTCCCGCGTTATCTTTCCATCTCAGGTGCCTCGTGCAGAGGCCCGCCTGTCTTAAGTCACAGGTGCTTGTGTGCACAGGGATTTCCTTACTTTTAGTCTTTTATCCACTGTTTTTTTTAGCTTCTCATCCTCTCTTTCAAACCCACAGATCCCCCTCTCCTTCGTGTTGAGAGAGTGGAGTGTTCAGATGATCAGGCTCTGGTTTACAGGCAGGAGGAGGAGGAGGAGGCTGGACTGCGGTCAGTGCTGAGCGGAGAGGTTGAGCAGCCTCTTGCTCAACAAGGTGTTGTGCTGTTTCAGGTACTCGATCAGGTCGGCCTGCTTCTCCACAACCTCCTCCAGACTGGAGCCCTCTCTGTGACACAAATAACAACACATGAGCCCTTTTCACAGTCAGTCAACACTGCTGGTTTCATCTGTCTCTGTCTGTCTCTCACAAACCAACAATTAACTGATATAAACTATTAGTAAGTGTATGCCCAAAGTCTGACACAGCTGATACCTCTGTGCTTTATACCTCAACTGATCTCCAAAAACCAACACATCAATGTGTCACACTTATACCGGGCGACATAATCTTTTGTTACCTTAATTTAGGGCACTGTATGGAAACTTTATCTGGAGTCAATCCAACACACACCTCATCCTGATGTTGTAGATACTTAGCAGTGCAACAAATCCATGGTTAAATACAATCCCCACCACAGTTTACTTCACATTGCCACATATTTTAGTGAGCCATTCAAGTCCAGATTAAATGAAAATGCCTTTTAAACCCTTATAAATCACATCCCTGGCCCTACTGTGCACCTATTTACAAATATGTGCCAATAAAAACAGACACAAATCAATTTGTTTGTACTCTTATATTAAAATGCAATGACGTTTTCTTCCTGTAAAACAAAATCTGATGCTAATTTGAACCAATAATATCACGACATCCACCCATCGATCAGTCTGCAACTTTTAACCGCACAGAGCTAAGAGTCATTAATTAGCTAGCTGGCAACAACATGCTACATTGGTGTATCTTCTTTACCCCGAAATACCGTGGTAATGGCTCACTGGTTAGAATTCATTCACTTCAGGAAAGTGGTATCTGTGGCAGCTCCAGAGTGAACACCAGGCATTTTACTATGGACTGCTTCAGAAACTAACGTTACATGGAGCATATGATGGACTTTGTCTCTTTCTCCCTCATAGATAGGCTACTGCGACACCATCAGAGTTAACACCGTCCTCCCAACATTATGTCCAACCTGCCTATCCCGTTTTACTCGGAAATATATGGCGATACTGAAGCATGATACTCAAAATGCTGTTTGATCTGGACTTTAAGATCCTCTTTATAAACATATATGTACATCTTCAGTAGGAAAAATGGGCTTGGGGCCACAAACAGGCTGGAGAAGCTAAAAAAAACTAGACTAACACATTGTTGGTTTGGGTCTTTGTAAAGGATTTGTTTAACAATGACAAAACTATAGTGGCCAGCTGTGTACTTGGATTTTAATGCATCCGAACATAGCTCCTTATTACATGAATAATCTTTAATGGCTCCATTCAAACATGACAAGTCCATTATGAATAGAGCTGCAATGTTTGTGCAAAATTAAGCATCTGGTACATGAAACAATGATACAGTACAGCTGAAGAATACAGCTGGTTGGAGAATAATAGAATAAACGAAGAAACGTGGTCTCAGTTTTCTGAATAGGCTGCGACAGTGATGGATTTAAAGAATTTATTTGCAACTGAAGAGCACCAGGGATGAGAAAAATGTTTGGACGAATTCGTATTTGCTGAGATGCTGCATGTATTAAACCTTTTGCTCGATATTCAGACTGTGAGCAGTTGGCATGGATCAAAACTTAAGGGAGGGAGGGAGACAGATGGTGTAATGATTGCTGTGATTTTCTGAAGATTGTTTCCCCTTTTGTTCCACACTACAGGGGGGAAACAAAAAAGTATGTCATGGTTTACTGGATTGATTTTTTTTATCTTTTTGCAAGAGATGATAATTAAATGCCAAAAATATAACTTTAATCTTAAGTACTTAGACCAAGACTGACATTTAATATCTCTGTTGCTGTTGAAGTCTTTATGTTAATGCAACAACATTCAATTCAGACTTGAGCTGCACAGCAGTACAATGATTAGAAGTACAGACGGGCGACTCAGAGGCTTATTCAAACACGACAGTGACACATGAACTTGCCAGCCCTTACTCGTAAGGTGGTGCACATCTAAAAGGGGCTGTGGACAGTGTGTGTGTGTGTGTGTGTGTGTGTGTGTGTGTGACAGAGTGAAATCTGTGTACCTGAATCCAGTCTCAGTCGGCAGGTTCGTAACACTGTAGGTGTGTGAATGCTCTTCTTGGCTCACGTCTGGTGCAGCTCGCGCCCTGTTGAACCGCATCACCTGGACTAAAACCACAAACAAAAAAATCTTCAGTTACTTTTCTAACAACACCATCAAAGTGTGTTTTATCTTGTCACTTGCACATAAAGACACACAGACATTACCGCACAGAAAGAGCTCTTCAAAAAACATTAATCACTCAGGTGAGAATCTGCACACATTTGTTTTTTTATTGTTGTCCATCCCTCTCCCTCTCCTAAACACACACAGGTTGTTATATCCTGCACTTAGTCCTTATGGGCCGCCATATCCTGCACTCAGACCTCTAATTCTCACACCCTAAACATACACCTTTTCACAAGAGGAGGGGATGGCAGCAAGGTGTGGCTGTGGAGTATCCAGCAGCTGGAAGAGGAGCCAGAGCCAAAAATATGGGAGATGTTGGTGCTGTTTGGATCAAGATAAGGCCGCGGTGTATTTGTGGGGTTGCAGGGCGAGTGTGTTTGAGGAAGGGCAGAGGGTGGAGCTGGTCGAGTATTGATAAGACTGGAGTGTCATTAGCCAGAGGAAATTGTCAGGGAGGTTCTAAAGAGCGCTATCTTTACTTTGCTACAGTGCAGCATCTCAGCATCCACACTCACACACAATCTAAAGAAATACTGCACATTCCTGCATAATGAGGCACTAAATCTGTGTGTGTGTGTGTGTGTGTGTGTGTGTGTGTGTGTGTGTAAATACAGCAATAGTAAGCAGGTATGTGTGAGAGAGACAGAGACATTCCAGAAAGGCAGAGAAATGAAGGTTTGTTTTAAAAATGACAAAGAAACACAAACTTCCACACAACAGGGTAAAATATTTGCCCTTTTTTGTTCAAAAAAGACACCTGACAAGTGGTTGCACGTACAAAAATAACTGAGAATAAAAACAGGTCAAAGGGATAGTGGGATTGTTTGGAGAAGCAGGCAGGAGTACAGCCACAGAAGCTAACCAATGTGCTGCTGTTGACGAAAGGCAGCAGCAAAACATACTTTAGCCACCTACAAAAAAAAATCAACATCAGGTTAAGTGCAAGCTATATTTATAATATTTTCACCACTTTACCTTTCGGTCTTTTCGACAGGGAACTACACTGAAAGTGAAACTTATCTATGCTCTCTTCAAAGCCAGACTGAGCTGACAAGAACAGCACATTTACCTTGCAGAACAAAGGAGCTGCTGATCTACTGCTGCCTCGATCAGTTACTTGGTTTGTGTGATTGTGTGAGTTTGGTGTTATAAAGGATTAGTTTGGATTCACCAAAGTCACACAATAACACAAACAAACTAACGATCATAGCAGTGGTACACTAGCGACTCCTATGTTCTGCAAGGTGAAATTACTGTTTCTGGCAATGGATTCCGTCTTTTAAGAGAGCATAGATAACAGCCTCAGTTCCCCATCTGAAGAGCTGTTTGATAGCAGGGTAAAGCAGTAAAAATATTCTAATTACAACATACAGTTAAGCGGACATTGATTTTTTTAGGTGGCTAAAATAAATTTTGCTGCTGCCTTCACCCACAGCAATATGTCTCTTCGCTTCTGTGGCAGTACTCCTGTCTGCTTCTCCAAACTGGGGGCATGCTGACTGACATTTACTGTATGAAATACACTGACTATGGAAAAGCACCTCATACAGCCCAACTTAAAAAATCAGAGCTATTCCTT